GGTAAACTCCAACAGATATTTCTGGACACTAAACTCTGTCATGAATCGGTCGTCTGCGTGGACAGGGATTTGGTAGTATCTGGCCCGCAGATAAAGAGAGGAGAATTGGGCTCCGTGCAAGACCTCAGTGGTGGCGTCGATTCTTGGTAAAGGACGCTCGTCTCAGACGGTTTGTGCGTTAAGTTTTCTGTAGTCGGCATAAGTATGAAGTGTGAACAACCGCGTTGCAGTGGTCTATACAGCGTATGCGGTGTGAGCTACCGTAAAGGTACATCCCAATAGTTGTGATAAAAACTAATCAGTCCTTTTCAGGGCTAAGTTCAATTTCTGAATGCTAGCTCCATATCCCGCAAGAAGGCCTCGAATATCTTCTCCGGATTCAATCCTCTCCACCATACCTCGATGAGGTACCGCTCCTTCATATCCTGGGTCGTGCCCCGCATTTCTTTGAGCACCTTCAACTCCAAAGAGGTCCACATAGACTCGATCAGTTGGGTGTGCGCACCGCTCTCTGGATCCATGAAGTTCTTCGAGTGGTTCACGGTTTCGTGAACGTACCCCAGCTGCTCAATCCCCTTGTATGCAGGCCATTCTCCTGAATGGAGTGTTGTACCCAGTTCTACTTCTGTCTGTATGATGTCGTGAGATCAGTGTTGGGATAATTGTAGGTCAAACTAGTAAACTCTCATCATGAAATTTCTTATGAAGAGTTCTTGGAGTGTGGTTAACCAGGGGAGCCCATAACATCACTGGCAGTGACTGCCCTATCGATATCATGAGACGGATTCTTGGCTGTCCTGGCGTCGTGATAAGCATGTTATAATCTTAGAGCACAGCTCCACATCAAAGAAATGGTCTGACGTTAGGAATGGAGAAGGCAATCAATAAACCTAAGTCAATGCCGAACAGACATTCGTATTGACTGTGTCAGTCCTGAAATAATGCTAGCCACCTGCAACATGAGGTTCTCTTTGTCTCCTCTTTGAAGAAGAATGGAGTAGAGAAGAATCATTGCCAAGTTACCTAATGCTGCAGTCATGGCACTGGTTATCGCTACGCTGGCGAGCTAATAGGCGGGACTTTATAAATGTATGTATGGCATTGTGTCGCAACATCGACTTTAATAGCAGATAAGTATTATATTGAATACTAATTCTTTGAAGGCCTAGCCTATAGTCCAGAGTGGCAGAGATTAGTAGGCCTGGCCTATAGCCTTTAATGGCATATCATCGTAGGCCTCGCGCGTTCGCACTCGCATCTCTTTACAATCTGAGTCTACCTCTTTTGAATTTCGCAAAGGAAATAGGAACTAGATACTCAATGATAGGGTGACCATATTTATTGAAAAGGAAAATCCAATCCCATTTTCCCTCCGTTTACGGTTGACAATAGGCTGATGAGCTGTTTGCTACAAATGAGTGGCACTGAAAGGAAAAATCGCTGGAGATTTTTCCGAGCAGGGAAACCTCGAAACCAGGGCCTGTCCCGGTTTTACCGGGACGATCTGGTCACTAAGAGCATGATTAAAGGTTATATGAGGCTAATGTCTGAAAAAAAGGCGATGAAATTGAATATTCTTTCCATGCTTACAATAACAAAAAAATTCGTATAGCATACCCATCCGGCTTGATGTGACTGACTTCTCGCGGCCACAGGTAAATTATGTCCGAAATGTGGGCGGCCCACAAGTAAATTTGAGAAAGTGTACCGTTTCTTACCGCCTGCAGGCTGTTTCAGGTTACGATTGTGGTCATTATTTGTGGTCAATGGTCACGATTAGCATAGCTATCTGAAGGATTCCCGTTTCTCCAACCCGTGAAACGTCCAATCGAGACAATTTTCCTATTGACAGAACACTCTCACGCGAGCATTAAGTCGCCATCTCATTACCCCCTTCCGTTCATGTGACATGAGACCAGCTGCAGTCTTTCAAACCGATTCTAATCCACGGCTCAGAATATATTTTGTGGAATGTGTTATTGCGTTACATGTTAGATTAACAAATTACATTGAAAATAAACCGTTCTTTTTCATTTTCCAGTAATTGCGAAATAATAGAAAATGTAACTACTATTCCTATTTTGTTCCTATTTTGAAAGCCAGTTGTACTCGGGTTCTACATATCCAAGTTGAATTTGAGAATCGGATTCCATTGGAAAGATTGTTCCGGCTCCGGGCGGAACGGTCCTTCATTCTTGTGAGAAATGGAAAATAAAGAGGCCAGGTAAAGCGCGGAGGAAGTCCGATTGTACTGATGTATTTTATCAACGTAAAAGATCTGGATCTATGTGGTTCTTAATACGATGCCGTTCTCGTTTCGCTCCTATTTCTTCCGGGGGCGGCCATTGGCCACGGCCGGCAACACCGTTGCCAGATGCATATTAACTCTGCCCAGTCGAGTGAGTCATCTCAATTTCGTTCACATTCCGTGTGAATGTAATTCACTGTTTGTCGAATGGGGCACATCTTCGATGCGTCTCTGCGTCTTTCCAGATGCTGAGTGTCATCTAAAGAATGTTGCATGATGGTGAGTCAGTGATGTAATAATCACGAGGAAAGTGAAAGTCCCAAGAAATAAAAAAAATATTTTTTGTGCATAGGAATAAAATGAATATGTACTGTTGGGGATTGACGCTTGGTGGTGTTCAGCCCATCAAGTCCGCCTATCAGATGCATTCTGCAGCATCTTCGAGATAGTTCCGCGCCCACGGGTTTGTATGCGGACGCTGACTGAAGCCCAGTGGCTTTCAATCATTTGCATGTAGCAGCCAGTCGCAGGATCCGCGAAGTACTGTTGGTGTGTCATGGTCTTGTGGATGTATCTGCGTTGACTAAACTGACAATTCATCGGACCAGATCTCCATCCCCGGAGAGATGTGGCGCCTCATGATGGGCTGCAGTGTCGCACGGTCCCGACTCTGAAGTTTAAGTAGACGCAGTTCCATGCATCCATCATGAAGCCAGGCCGTTCCGAAGACCCATGGTCCGTCTGCTACTTCCCCAGTATTCTCCGATGCAGAAGGTTGCAAAATATGCATTTCCTGGTTACCTCATGTGTGAACGACACATCAGAGGAATGGCATGCAAATCTGACCGAAAGTAGCTCTCATCAATCTGGATAATTTTTCCTGGACCATCCACTAGCTGCGCATATGCGAAGAACGTCCGGAACATATCTCTCGCGAAATGTCGCCAGTCTATTCAAGTCTCATTACGAAGGGAACTGAGTTTTCCTGGAAATGCGAGCTTGCATTGGGCGATGGTATTGGATGATGGGCCCAAGCAAGCGCGGCAGCTGGAATGAGAAAGGCGCGAAAAATGTGGTATAGGTTAGCCAGGATCATTAGGGTTTAATATAGGCTTCGCGCGTCTGATTTAGATAGCAGAGGCCTAACGCTTGAAAAATCCCTGGATGTGAATAGGTTATGAGCGCACTTTCAAGGAAAAGAAACCTTTAAATTTTATTTTTAAGCAATAACCTTATAATTACTGGATGATGGTCTCAATAAGAAGTGAGCATTGAGGAATATAGATGCATCATTCATGAAGTCCTGAGATGAGAGATTGTGAAGATGAGATTGGTTTGTTGCTATTAGCCAAAAACGTCCCAAGGCAATAAAGTTCGCACGCTGAAATACACCATGTCCACCTCTGTTCTCCCTTTCGTTCATAATATTGCATCGCTATGGCACATCATGAAGGGAGCTTCTTGCAGGGAATGCCTTTCTCTGCTGACTTGACTCTATATCCTCTTCTTATCTGGGATATGCTGGCGTTCCTCAAGCTCCTCCATGTAATGTTCATCCTGCAATGAGCATCCGAAAGGTTAGGGGACTCAGCCGTAGGTCGTATAAGAAGGGGTCGGAAGTCACCGATACCGAGGTCAATGGATAGCTTGGGCTACTTCCGGGGAAAAGGAACGTGGTCGTCAGGGAGCGGGGTGGTGGCGTAAAATCTTGTTGAAACGATTCGCTAAGAGAATGCTTCCAGGTCGACTCTCTCGGTCGTTGGGAGGATGTGTATTGTCTCGAAACAAGTTGCTTTCTCTTGGTCGTTGGTTTTCAGCTTGCTGGGGGCCTGCGAGGTCACTCGCCTTCCTGGCACCACTCAATTCTCCACCGCTGTCCATCTTCAATCGCTCAATTGTACGACTGTTACGTATCGTTATTGTTCCGTTTTATGCTAGATTTATACATAGGCAATCCCAATCAAGCCACCTATACAATAACTTACCTGTGAAACTTTCCATAATTTATGCACACATACCGAGATGCTTCCGCGCCGTCTCTGGACGGCCTTATGATATGTCTACCTACGTCTCCCGTGATACGAGCTAGAGTGTGAAAGATCAGTGAGTGGGGAGGGGATTCTAATGGTGTTAGTGTCTTCCGTGTTTTGTTCCCTCCAAGTAGCGAGAAATATGGGGTATTCAGGTGGGAAAGTTCGTTTGTGTCATTGGTGCATTTAGCAACCAAGTAGTTTCGCATGCCCTCAGGGCAATTTTCCCTCACAGATTCGGTATATATAATCTGCGAGGAAGTGTCTAGGTATGCATACTTGATGATGGTGCGTTCTATGCGACCGAGTTTGTCGAGGATCGTGTCGGAGACGTTGGCCCAGGCCGCGAATGCGTATGCGAGGAATGGGGCGGATGATTGTGCGGGATGCACAGCTGTTGATGTGTGATATAATCTTCTGGCAATTTCGTTTGCGCATTGCCTTTTGGCGAATCATCTCGATGTGAGGGGACCAATTTAAATTTTTGTGAAACGTGACGTTTAAGAACTTGCAGGTGAGAGCAGAGGGGATACGTTTTCCGTTCATCCACAGCCTGAAGTGGTATGGATCAGTGGGCGATCCTGTATGTACAAGGATTTGGAGGGATTCATAGAGATCCTCTAATCCCTGCAGTAAGCTTAGAGAGCATCATTGGCTATGTGTGAGTCTTCTTCGAGTCTTACTTCGCACCGTAGCGTGATCCAGATGATTGTATCGTCTGCTTATTGGTTGGCGTATGCAGTCCCGGAAATGTGCTTGGGGAGGTCGTTGACGTACGCGAGGAGTAGGAGTGGCGCCAAGGACGTAGCCTTGGGGAACGCCGGCTGAGGCAGTGTATCTGCCAGACACCCGGTCGTTGACTCGGACCTGGAAGGTGCGATCGGACAAGTATGACCTCATCCACTTGAGGGCGAGCGAGGGAAGTACTTATAAGAACGTTTCTCGGGACAATAATCGCCGTGCGGTCTTGCATTCATGTTTAACAATGTTGTCATATCTAAACCTCTTCCCCACTGATCACAACTCTTAAATGCTTTACTTTATATTATGCACGCATGAACTAAGAAAAAGATTAACTTAGGCGAGCATCTTCAACACCCTATTGCTTTGCATTATCTGATGCTGCCAGGTCTAACTAGTTGATGGTATTGGGAGTTCATTTCGCTGGGATCGTCCTTCTATCCCTTGACTTCTAATGTTAGTATTTATTTTTTGTTTATTTCCCATTCGGGGATTATTTCTTATACTTAAATGCAGTCTTTAGGTTCGCATTTTTAATGTACGAATATATGATTTGTGTGCCTGTGGGATAATATAGAGAGATAAAGTATGCACCTCGTTTCTGGCCGGTCTCCAGTTGTTGGTCAATGAAACTTAAAAACTTAAATGCAACATCATTAAGTAACACATTCACTGTCATGGACATTTCGGCCATTCTGCCTAAAGCCTCTGCTACCTTAGCTTAACGCGCGAGACCTACGAGGCTAGACGAAAAGATTCGTGAACACGGCAAATGACGGGGTTGGCAGTGAATGTGTTAATCTGGCCGCTTTCTTTAAGCATTCTATCTTCCCGTACGAGGACTTTGGACTCCCTGTGCGCACACAGTAGTAATGTCAACGTGGCCAAAAGCTGTGGTGTTTACCCTATATCGTTCCAATTTGCTTGAAGCAATTTATAATGTACATGCCTCATGATATTAGGTGAAGTTAACCATGGAAAGGCAAAATACACCAAATGTCAATATTGATGAAAGCAGTATTAAAAAATTGAGATACATTTTTATGTTAAATTGTAGCCTTTTATTGGAACGACTCATTTAATTACAACTTAGTATGTTTGTTTACAACAGTCTGTCATGATTCTCATAAAATGTTGATGCAATTGGACTCTTTGTTTAAAATACATATTCCATGAAGAGTGATCGTTTAGTTTTCTTGCAGTAGTGTATACGTGGAGGAAGGTTGAACTTTCAGGTATTTTGCGAATAGCTACGCGAAAATCAGAAACAACCTTTTTATTGACCTCAGTGGGACTGGCAAAACTTCTCAATTTTGAAGAGTTTAACGCTTAGGACTTTTTGAACCGCCCATGTAAAATTCAATTATACGTTCTGATACTGCATTTGGAGTTTTGTGTAGTAATATAACTTTTTGTAGTTCCGAAGCATCTTTAACAGTACCAATGCATAGTCACTTGTGGCCGTGCATTCGAGGTGGAACGATTGAAGGTAACCTTTATTAGCAGATACTTTTCCTCTTGCACATTGTGCAGTACTAACTTTCATTTCCATGGTTTATGATGTCTATAAAAGACGAAAGCCACGAAATAATGAAAAAACAACTGTTGACTATGTCGTCCAGTTGCCGCGAAAAGCGCCGGACTTCAGTCCATCCAGATCACCGAACATCCTTTTCACATGGAAGCGCTGTCCCATGGCGCAGTTAAGGTCCTCCACTCGTATACACAACAAAAGGAAAATCGTCTGGCATGTTTCATGTGGTAGCTTTCACCGTTCGTTACGAAATGAAAGGGGTGATTTCCTAAGATAGAAACTCTAGAGTAATATTCAAACATAAAATAAGGAAATGCTCTTTCCGGGTTGCAGGTCACAAAATGAAAAAAAAGAGGGAATGCGAGACGTGGCCGCTCCATACCTAAGACGCAGTCAAAGACTGTCGTGTCCCCCAAACCAACGAGTCTTGTATCTGAAAGGGCAAGGAGAACAAATACAATTGAGATAGGCTCCATCGTTTGCATCAGGTAAACCTTTGCTATGGAGAATGCGAGTAACATACACTGGTAGAGGCAGTGGTGTCCCGTATAGGCCCAAAGTCGGCGACATGACCTAGGCGTCTCCAGATCAGTGCTTCGAGAATGACTGGCGCCCCCATTTCGAACGACAACTGCAGTGGTACTGAAAGTTATGTCGAAGCGGAGTTCGTAATTAGGTCCTTCAGATATACATACGAATACCCTACCAACGATGGTGGTCTAACGATTCTATGCAACTCAAGGGGGGAGGCTAACCCAGTATTGCCCGCGAAAGTCCTTGAGCGGGTGTGGCACGATCGCCCATGACCCTTTCACGTTGCGCCGTTGGAACCAAGTAGGATAGATGGTTGAAGAGTGGTATTTCGTTGGGTCGAAGTACTCTCCACGAAAGCTTTAAAAAGAATGAGGGGAGGATTTACAGGTAAATAACCACAACTTTACTGAAGATTCATTGCGGATGAAACGCCCACGAAGGATAGGAAGAGCGAAGCTATGATATATCCTCACCTGACACGGTGCCCATAGAGTTATCATTGCGGTTGGTCCCCCTACGATAAAAGAGAGAGACACATGCATGCATGTTCTTATATGCGAAAGGAATCCCATACAACACTCACGGAAGGGACACTTAAGGAAGGTACAATCTCGATGATTGCTGGAGATGTGGTCTCCCTTGTTGGGGGAGGATGATGTGTCACTTCTACAATTCCCCAGTGAGACCGCCCTAGCTGCCATACGGCGGCACGCCTGCTCCTTCGGCACTAGGAACTAAAGGGTTTTTCAGAATTGACAAATATACGTATTTTACCCCGTTACTTTCTCCAGATATTAAATAAATGATTATTACTGAGCGCACCAATCTAATCCACGACGAAAGTACAGGGCGGGGTCACTTCCATCACCGCAGGCCCGGTGGATTTCAGTGTCCTTATGGTCCGAATAGCAACGAGGTGCGGGGCTTTCTCCAACACGTCGACGGTACAGTTCCTTCCACTCCCCCTCCAACCGCAACAGCAAATCGAGCAAATCACTGCTCCAGCCCCTCCAGGGACCCGTCGTAACAATATACGACTCCCTATTTGCAGGTAGACAACGTATATGAAAGGAATCGGCACTGATATATCTTCTATAGCGTCCTCCTTAAGGCCAGAAATTGTACCATTCTCAGTTCTTTGAAGAAAGTCTTCGATGTTTCGGGTGTTCGAAATGTAGTGCACACGCAATTTATGTTGCTCAACATTCCATCCGTCACAGGCAGCTCCATTCTATCATACAATTCTTTAACCCAGTAATACTGACTCCCATATACATCCGAGGCCCAATTTACAGCGCTTTGCAGAACAGCAAGGTTTGTTGAGATGCAGTAATGCAGCCGCTCAAGCTGCACGGATTTCGAACGATATCTGATGAATACATTATGTGCAGCTTCAGGTAAATTGCTGTGACCTTTACCAAGGTCTGGATGAATGTATTGCTGACATTCATCAGCCTTGCGAAGGCATTCGATTTGATAAAGGGCAAGATGAAGAGGGCAGGTAAGCGTCATGGATGAAGAATCCTTAGTCCGCTTTCTACAGCGTGAGAGGTCTTCATCATCTAGGCATTTTCCGCATCCACACACTTTATATGGGTGAAATTGGCAATGCCAAAGCTCCCCGTCTTCAATCCACGCGTGCTCGTCTTTCACGTGATGAAAAGCAAGGTCACGGATGTTCTGTCGGAAAACCTCAGGATCTTTCGCAGCATCTGCGTCAACGAGGGCTGAAAAAAAATTTACTCGTGCGTATCTCACAAACGCATCAGTCATACAGCCACAAGGTGGATTATGTCTATGTTTCTTCCCCAAGCATTTGCACTTTAGCGAAAATAACCACAAATTTCTCTTCCCCGATTTATCTGCAAAGGCTTTCGTAACTGATTTTTTACTGGCATACTTCTGAAGTATGTTAGTATGAGATCTAGCTGCATGACCTTCACAAATCATGACTTTGGATGCTGCTTCGTCAGGGTAGGCCTCTCGGAAGCTGAGCTTACTTGTACTGTCCTTATCTTGCCAATTTACCTCAACGTGGACTCCATGAGCTTTCAAGTACTGAAATCCCTCTGCTGATTTAGACATTCCTCCATAGAGAGGAACCTTGCAAACCTTGTCTCTCCCATGCTGAGAAAGGTGAAGAACATGAAGATATCCACCAGTAAGAAAATCTCTGATGATGAATGAGAAATTCTTACTGTGGGATCCCCTAGTTGGCCATGCACCATCATTCGTTGTGATGGCACGGGATATGCAGCCCACTTCTCCTGGATCCTTTTTCGACATTTCATATATGGTCCTGCCGCACATCTTATCTACCATAATTTAGACAGGATGGTACATGTTGAGAAGAGTTCTAGCATAAGTCTTAGGTGTGACCGCAGCCATGCGTACGCCTACTCCAAGCATTCGATAATATTGGCTGTACGTGAGTCCAGCAATTATCGAAGCAACTTGCAGCAATATGCTGTTGACGAGTCGGCGAGAAGTCTGAAGGGAGAGAGATGACTCAAATCGGAGCCGCCTTGACTGGCAAGACTGGCACTCGAACTCCACGACGATGCCTCCTCCTTTCCCCGAGACAGTCTGGGACACCGGTAAAGGGCTACCTAGAGTGCAAAAAAAGAAAAAATAGTAAAAAACCAATTCATGGGTACTGGGAACGACTGGCCTCAATTCCCCTCTTTCTGTCAACGTGTATAGGTGCCCAAATGCAACCAAAAAACAGCACTGCTATTTCCTTCATAGCATATTAGTTCTTGAAAATTTCTAAATTTTTTCTGAAAATTTATTTCTCCGAATAAAAAATGCCAGCTGTGCCAACAACTATCAGAAAATCTGAGGCTCATCAAGTTGCCCTCGCTTTTGCAACTTTCCTCGACAGATTGAATTTGCAGTTACAATGTTGCAGATCGGTGGATGAACAGCCAAAAACCTCTTCAGCGCTTCTGTGTCCGTAAGGAAAAATTCACGGGGAAGATTTCCTACCATTACTCCCTCATCTGCTAAGGAAGAACAGAGACAGGAAACAAATTTAGACATGTCCATCTCAGTTGGCAGCGACTCTGTGATGGTGATATTCGAAGGAAGCTGAAGCATGCCGACTGATAGATTCCGATTCTTCAGAAGCGCTGTTTGAGGAGCTGCTCTTGATGGCTGTCGTTGTCGGTTGATCTATGATATAGACGAAATGGCTTCAATAATGACAAAACAAATTCTGCCGAGCAAAAATCAAGCAAACACATACCTGCATCACTTGCAGCATGAACTGCTGTCACAGTCCATCTGCTTATGGCTGCCTTTGCGGCTCTCCTCGTCTTTTTATTCCTCGGTGGTTTTTTTTTGTTTTTTGGCAGGAACACCTCCAGCACATACTGCGTAGAATGTACAAAATTGTTATCGCTGTGCCTAACGAGAACAACTAGCATACATTGCAGTGGCTACAAGCCATGCGCTTTAGAGCAGTATTTGAAAATAACGGCGGGATTCACTAAATTTCCATTATGACCGGTATGATTTTACATTGTTATAATAGGAATTGAAGCATTGCATTTTGCCTGTAATTTTGACTATGAATGGCTCCAAATGGGCATTCTACAATTCATTAACGCTCGAGTAACAGCGCTGGAGTCTTCTAAAAGTCGGCTAAAATGATGCGTTAAGGACGAATATATAATTTAGTAAGTACTTGTTTCCGCAGATAGGAAAATTTCTTCTGTAGCAGCCTCTGATAGTTCTTCCGTGAGGATGGACCCACTGAGCCCAGGATTCTTGTCTGCTGGAAGAATAGTCTCTGGTTCCTCTGTGATAAAAGGACGGGAGAAAAGCAATTTACCTTATTTACGGACGAAAGTGCAATAATTGATTAATGCTACCTCTCCCATAAGGGAACTGAGACTCAGCGTCCTAATGCATGGTCGAAAATTCAATCGTCATTCAGCTATTTAAAAAAGGGGGTGGGGGCAGGGAAGACTTGCGCACCTGAAAATTTTGACGCTCGATATTGGCCCCCTTGTCATACCGCCGAACGTACATGCAAGTACAAGTAGTTTTAACATTCATTCGATTGATGAACAATTCTACGATGATGGGGCTAGGGCCCTCGGTACATCTCTTTCTGACTCACTGCACGAATTGTGCTACTTAAAATGCTCAAAAACAGCAGAAGAGGGATGCTAACGGCAGTGGTGTATACCCAAGGTTTCGTCAAAGGGGGGGCTCAGAGGAATAGAGGGGAAGGGGAGCGGCATGACGCATGAGGTTCAAAGTGCTTCCAGATGTCAGAACAACTGGACTGGAGAGATGCATGCCCATTTCACGGTGGAGCACATCAAAAGAGTTATACCAACGTGCACACCACATCACGTTCAGCGTGCTCGCGATCAGGGTCTGCAATCTCTGTTCGTTGATGCAACTCATCGCTTTTAGAGCGTCATGTGAACCTGATATTTTGCAGGCGTTTAGGAAAGAGTGCTACTAGCACATAAATCTTGTCACATCAGGCCCAATTGAAAGATGCCTCATGAAATCGCGCGTGCGAATGCTTGATGTAGTATGTAAGAAAAATGGGGTGACTCTGCTTCTAAATCTGGAACATGCAGTAATCCATATAAACAATTCATAGAAACGGACAGACAAGGCAGTGGCTTTTATAATTTAGTCATAAGTCACTGCTAAATTTATCACTGGTCGATTCACAAGTTGGAATCACGTGACTATAACTACATACCGTTCGCTCCAGTGACGCAAAAATACTGTCATTGCGGATACCATAGGTGAGAGACCCCATTTTTGCGGAAAGGTTCAATATCCGAGATTAGTTTTTGGCGACCGTTTTGGACTCAGATTCATCCAAGACGTAATCATATGTAGGACTTTCACTTCCATTCCGAGAACATCTGGGAAGTTTCCATGCGGAGTTCATGAGCCTTTTTCATGTTCAAATACATTTTCAGAGTGTTCAAAATTGGGTAAAACATTCCCATTCCTTAGAAATTGTGTCCCAGTACTCTCGAAGGATATTATGAATTATTTTCTGTTAGCAAATATTTTCTAGAGCATCAATTCTTGGTTACAGTGATTGATGAACTCAATGACACTCATTTCCTGTAGGGCCTATCCCCCCACCTGCTTGCAGAATAATGATGGCAGAAACTAATCACACTATTCGAATGTGATGAATCTTCGAAATTCATACCATAACAAAATTTGCTCTTGTCTATTGACATATTATAAAGTCGTCTTACCTTGGGAAATATCACAGGCCTTGAAATCTGTGCTTCAATCAATATGGATTCTGCAGAGATTCAGATGTTTCTCGCTGAGATATTCTCATTGAGATTATAGCTTCGCTAGCAGAAAAAACCGGCTCTCCCCTTATACATGCGCTCTACTCAAAGTAAACCTCAATCGTTATGAGAGCATAGAATTCCGTTTTCCCATTCCTAAGCACATTCCATCGTTTATAACATTTGAAATTCATGCCTCTGCACATCCACATCTTGCCAGCATCAAATGTTACAGTGATCGCATGAATTTAATTCCTTTTAGGCAGCAACATATTTTCAGATGTAATGAACGTAATCAGGCGCGATTATGGATTTCAGACCTCCTGAATTTCGAATATCTCCACTAGAAATACAATGTCATCGAATAAACTCTTCATTCGAATTATTGTATAGGCTTAACCATAGTCTACATATATCATTGGCTGTAGATTCTTGCTCAGATACCACTTTCAATTTCAAGAGTTAGAGAGATATATCACCCCCGTATGGCGCCCAAAGGGATGCCGGCGCCGGAGGGGTTTAGACCGTTGTTTACGTGGAGAGGGGTAAGGGGGCTACCGTGACGTCAGGGGCTGCCCCTCCATCCTGTCGTCTGCTCCGTCCCGCCCTGAGGAAGGGGAGGATTAAGTATGCAAATGGACACTGTGTATGCTCTCGGTGAGGGATATTTTTCGCTTCGTAAGAGGAATCTCCTATGCGTGCGTGTTTGTGTTTTTCATCTTCTGCTCACGTCTCTAGTGCGGAAGAGTTGCACACTTGTTGATGAGTGGGAGTCAAAATATAATTATTTGAATGGGATCGAATAAAACCGGAGAGTCCATTTGCCGAGCAGTCCGGTTTCCAGCATCTGCTCTCTAGCTGGTGCCCTAAGAGCGAACGATCATCCACGTAGGTTTCTTTGTTTGACCAGCCAGCGGACTCCTTCCTACGTGTCACAATTCGCTCCTCAAGCAGGCAATTGTATGTACAAATATACACTTTACCCCGTTCAGGTCTCAGAAGCGTCACACCCCCATTGTAAAGAAAAGACCCTCTTACACTATCTATCATCATTCCAGTAGTCTATTACTAGAGCGAGACTCACCGAAGTAACTCCACGGTAAGACCGGGGCGAGTTAGAAACCATATGGTAATGTGGTGAAATCCTGTTGAAGAACCCTCTTGTCGTATACAACTTGATACCTCTTTCTCTCTTCTACAGTGATTAGTCTTTTCCCTTTCTTTTCACGGAAGATTTTTTGTGGATTGATGATGGTAATATGCTCCGCCTTAAGGACCTTTCGTCTCTTCGCACCTCCCTTCGCAGATCGGAAGTTTGAAATAAGTTGATGCATGGTGTCAAACGTTATTTTTTGTGAGGCAGCGTGGTTGAGTGTGAAGCCACGAACTTTCAGGGACTCTTTTCCATGCGATGTCCTGTATGCGTAATTTTTTGGTCCACCCGAAATGAAATTGACGATGTGATCGCCTTCCAATTCGTCAGTGAACTCCCCGAGAAAATCCCCCAACGGTGGATCGTTTGTTCCATCACTGACGTAAATGACAATCTGTGTCATAGTATAACACGTCCTTGCCTAATTGCTGAAGGGTGGAGTAAAAGCTGCAACAAAAATGTTTGTTGCCGTTTGCTGAGGCAGATGCTCGTCTCTGTACCCCCCCATGTCATTTCCATGACTGATTCGTTGATTATGCTCATTCCGTTGATTTTGATTTTAGGCTCAGCAAGGAAACTGTTCATATCGGGTGTGCTCCTGACGAAAGTGGTCCTGCTTAAATTTTCGCGGATCCCGAACCTCCCCCAAAACGAGTTCAAGGCCAATTTTGCGACAGCTCTCAAACCAGGATTCTTTGCTATTTTATTCTTTTCCAGCTTGATTCCTTCGTGTTGCTCATACAGTTTGATGTATGCCTCCTTTTCGTTTTCCATTAGACATTCAGATGGCCATCCGCTTGCCTCTTGCTTTATTTTTAGAAAGGTGTCGAAATAGGCTTTGAAGAGATCCCTGGATTTCTGAGGGAAGTGATACACTTCATAGATTTTCATAACGTTGTAGCCCATCTCCACAGCCTTCTTCACTTCCTCCGTCACCTAGTATGGCTGTCGACTCGTCGGTATGTTGGCAATATTCCTGCTGTAGATTATCTGCACAGGTCCGGCAGAGAGGGAACAACTTTTTGTTGCTTCGATAAGGGAGCACTGGATGATAGAGTCCACGAGGAGGCAGGATGAGACATTTTATGAAACCAAAGTACGCACTCGCATCTTCGAAGTCGCGAGTTATAATTTCGGGGTGCCCTACAGGACATTCACAATATTTATTGGTATATGGATACAGTGATGTAAAGTCTATATATTTTATTTTTTCATTCCCCTTAACGTCATACTTAAGGACGGCTGCGTTAGTCCTTCCACCATAGAAGGCCTCGCGAGTCGAGTCGGGAGACGACTTCGTGCCGCTCCAAGAACTTTTGTACCTCATCTTCATTCTTCCTTTCTCTCCATTCGCATTCCCAGATGACGATGACTTCGTAATCCAAGTTCTCTAGATATTTTTGTCTATCCTTTGTCCTTTCGTATAAACGCTTCATAGGAAATTCAAGGTGGGAGTGAATGTCTTCAGGGTCATGACAGCGCTCGAAAGTAGTTCGTGTTTCTTCATGAAAACCATCTATTCTGAAAGATCCGATTTTCTTTTCACCGTCTGGATGATTCAATGCATGTCTGATATATGACATGCCTATCGTGGGCAGTAAAGTCTAACCATTCTATGCTGACCTTTGAAAATGATTCGACATTATGACCATGGCGATGGTATTAGGTTTCATAAAATGATTCTTGTAGATTGCGTGACATACGGATGCAATTGTGAGGTACTGGAACGGGTCACAGTCTGCCACTTGTAGCAGGAGTTCCCGGAGCTGAAGACAGGCTCTTCTCAAAATGTCGACATCAGACCGGCAATACTTTTCTATTTCA